CACATGTGTGCCCATCTGCTTGTCTCTCCTTCTACCCGATTTGCCCCAATCTGTGCATTTGTGGGTGGGTGTGCGCGCGCATCGGTGTATATACACATATATATATATATATATGTATATATATATATATGTGTGTGTGTGTGTTTGTGCAAATAGCCGAATACCCTGGATACACGTAAGCAGCACACACAAGACGGAAGACAATGAACTGTGCTGTCCAGGGTCGTAGGTCTGCATGGGCTCGGCAGCTATGACAGAGTTTTTACCGGAAAAGAAATGAGGAGATAGGCCACGTCTCATCATGCAGTTCGGTGTGAAAGACTCTCGTACCATTGGAACCAAATCAAACAGGGCAAATAGGTTCCATTGAATTTATGTTGAGAATACAATACCATAGACAAACTTTGCCTAACTTATAAGTCACAAACAGCCTTCAGGGTGTTGATTCTGTCGGCAAATTTGGATCCTGGTATTGAGGACTGCCTTAGACAAAATGTATTTTGGCCCTGCAATATAGTGAATCCTGAATTTCCATATAGCAAATCGTTAACAACTTCCGCAGTAAACGTGACACCAAAGATAGTAACATTATTATAATTATTTTCATTATTATTATCATGTTCATTATAAAGTGGCAATAAAATAGCATGAGGTCACTTTGCCAATAATTTCAGCGGGCTTTCTGTTGTCATTGTTGTCAAGACTTTGCACATAATAGGCATAGGAGGAGCCGAATACTGGTGCATCACGAGGAAATTTGGGAGAGGTGCGAACAAATTAGTTCTTGATGGTTTTGTCTAAGTTTCATATCTATTTAACTTTATATGTTCGTCTATAAATATATTGCAATAAGTAGTATATGAATGACTCGACAATATTTCTCTGGAAGCACACGACCGGTTTCGCGGTTCTTGCCGCTCGTCAAGCATGCATATCCCGTAGTTGTCTTTTACTTCATTCATAAATTTGTCCCCGGGAGCTGAAGTCTGGTTGGGAAGCACGAGCAATTGCCTCGGTTTGAGTCCAGCATGCAACATTTTGTACCGTGAAGAGGGCTCAATTTGAAAGCCGCATGCCATATTGGGAATTCATCATCATCATCGTACAGCGAGATACAGTGAAACGAGCTTCACTGATCGCTGCCAAGCTCACAATGTACACAAATCAGGTGATAGAGCATAAGATCAAGAGGGGTCGGGCCTACTTGGAGGGAGGCAAAGACAAAGGACCTCTATGTTCAACACACAGAGCACACAATCCAAGTGTTCATGCATACCTTTTTCAAGCATTCTGCCTTGTTAAGACATGACAACAAGAGCACCACTGCTGTCGGTCAGTCGCCATATCCTTTAATGTCTCCAGTCAGCCAGCTCCAGAGTCTTTCGGACCCCAACCTGGAAAACGGGAGATACCGATTCTACCTAATCGCTCTGTGCATTTCTTCATGTCTCGCTTCCACGCCATCTGTTGACCACCACGCGGTTTCTTCCAACTTGGAGCCGTAACTGTGAATAAGGCGCGGTGCGGCAGACGATAGCTGGACATGCGCAATACATGTCCTACCCAAGGAAGCCGACTAATCTGAATTCGATGGGACAACAAATTCTCCATCAAATCATCACCAAATACACGATGCCACTTTGTGTTGTGTTGTATTGTATTCAGGCTTTAGCGAGTTATATACAAGCTCTCAGCCAAAAAAAGACCACCGTTAAAATTCTGGGAAAAAGAGGCGAAACAGTGGGACGTAAAACGTGTCAAAATATGAGTAAATTACCAAATGCATTAGAAAGCGCAGAACGAACACTTTCCTTGTCGGTCAGTATCCGGGGAAAGATAGGGTACCAAAAAGTTTCTGTATGCGGATATGTGAGATGGGATAAGTTTGTACTTGGAACGGGTGCAGGGATGGGATTTGCATGCACACAAGTCAGTGTGTAGAGGATGGGTGCAATCAGATAGGATATTTGCAGCAAATTGTAAGCATGCATCAATATGGGCATCACACATATTGCCAATCAGAATAGATAATGGAACTTGGGAAACACGGTTGATCATTGAGAGGCCTCGCCTCAGCAACTTGAAATCAGCCTTCAGCAAACTAGGGAAAATTACAGGAGAGAAGTAAAGATTTATTGGTGGGACACATTGTGGACAAGTAAGAACAGAATTGGCGCAGTCTTCTTATCTGAAAAGAGAGAACTTTCAACTTGCGAGCAACAGTTTGGGTATATAAGCATCAGTAAAGTTTACTTTCAAGTGTTACACCTAAGTACTTTACGTGGCTAACCCTGAACATCGGCTTTCTATGAATCTGGACATTGTCGGAGTGAGATGGAGTACGGTTTAGAGTAAAAATACATTCAAGGCATTTTTCAAGATTAAGACTAAGACCAGAAGAAGTGGAATATGAAATGAGGTGGGATAGGTTGGTGTTATATTCAACCAGTTCTGATTGGTTAGATATGGAAAGAGAAATGACGATATCAACAGCATAAGTAAAATGTTGAACAGGGGGAGTAACAGGTAAGTGATTGATATAAGTCGAAAAAAGCTAGGGTGGTGGGACGCACCTCGAAGTACACCTAACCTATTGGGTGATGCAGTTGACTGTGTTCTTCCTAATTTAACATACTGAAAGGTAATCAGCAAGCCACTCAAGAAGAGAAGCGGGACAGCCAAAAGATTGGAGCTAGTTAAGTAAAACAGAACCGGGCACCGAGTCGAAAGCAGAAAAGTAGTCAAGAGATGTACAGTGCACATATTTGTCTTTCTCGTTTGGGGACTTAACATTGTGTGGGTGCAGCGTACAATGTAGAAGAATACAACTCGACAATAGGCTAACTAGACATCCCCTTGTCTCACTAGAGTTACAGAACAAGAATTGCTTCTGGAAAGAGCCATAAATTTTCTTTTTTATCTTGTATTTGTTCTACAGAAATCAAGTTCAATCGATGCGGACGGAGATCAATCAGTTTTCATCACAATCAACGATCAAAGGGATATTTTTTTCCCTTCAACTTGTTGCTCGCCTAAGGTCTCTTAAGACATAAATGTACACGTACATAATGGATGCCCACAACAGGGCGTGATTTGATATTATTATAAAAAGGATGCTCTACAAACAATGGAAGCTCTGTGTTTTGCCATGTGACATGCTGGTTGTAGTGGAATACCTTTCAGATTCTGACCAAGTTTTGACGGACAGATTTTGTTGCGCGAAATAATTATTGGATATTTCCCATTGGGCTAGTTGTATTTCAATGTAAAGTATAAGCGGTACTGATGGCATGAGTTATCATAAGCAAAAGGGTTCGCCTTGATCGATAATGTGTACGGCAATTCTGCTATCCAAAGCATAGTGACCAGTAAAAAGGAAAACTAAATAGAATTCCGTTCCCACTTACCAGTTTCTGTGTCATCGGGTTCGTGCGTTCCGCAATGAGAAGCCGATGACCGCCGGTCAAACAGAGCGATATATTGCTCTATTCGGTTGTACGCACATGGCTAGACAACTCTTATACACTTGGATGGTAATGCATGAGCTGACCTTCAGGTGAACGTTT